TCGGAATCCACAAAAAAACAATGGCTGCTGTCCGGCCTGTTCCTGTGCGTCCTCAAACAAACTCGGTGTCCATATTCATATTCATAATGTTTCGTGAGCCTGCAATAGTATGTATAGTTGCATCGTACAGTACAGTACGGGTACAGTACCGATAAGGTAAGGATGCCTAGACTCACGACTTCTCGAGCCTGAAGCATCACTCCACGTGTATGCAAAGGTTCAAACATCGATAGGTCGCCAATAATACCATACCTATGGAGTCCATACCAATGGACATCTCCACTCTCCACTCTCCACCCATTATGCGCTCGAAACACATGTCATAGAACTGGACCCGCCCGAGTCTGGAATTCGGGGCGGGAGAGCAACATTGGAAAGCCGGAAACCAAACTCACGCACTAGACTAGTAGAGATCCTGGTGTGTTGTGGATGAGCCTGAGGTGAGAAAGTGGATGTCGTACCTGACAGATGGAAGCGTGGTGGAAGCGCTGGCCGGGAGGGGCATCCGTTGTGATGTGTATGTATATGTATTATATTTATGGGATTAAGTTAGGTACGTTAGGGAATCTTTGGGTCACCGAAGAATATACATGGATGGATAATGGATATGGATATGGGTGTGGGTATTGTATTGTATTGCTTGTATGGGTATGGTATGGTGGCATTGAGGTTCTGGAAAATATAAATAGAATATCAAATTCAGTTTGAGGTATCTAGAAAGTTTTCCCGTGACTGTGCCTCCTTCATATTAGAAGTGCGGCGCGTAAGGCTTTATGGCTCGGCCTTTATTGATCTACTTCTAGGCCTTTATAATCAAAAAAATTCCCGAAGATATACTGACCAGGCGGGTAAATAATCCCTTTTCTATACCGTTTCCATAAACAGAAATTGAAGTTCCCGTTCCCGTTTCCGTGTTCATTCAATTGGTTATGATTACCCCGTGTTAGATATTACCAATATCAACCCCCTCAGACTCATTAATATCCAACCATTGAACCAACCAACCAACCAACAAATACCGGTAGGTACCCCTCTCATCTCATTTGACAGGAACAAGGAAGTCCTTTCCAAAGTTCACCCCCCTCGGACGAAGGAAGGAATAACGGCATTCCCGCTATGTGTGTCACGGCGATCATTGCGCAATTCTTCCTTACATTTTTTTTCCCTACCTATAACATCCTCCCCTTTTTGCCTTCCAAGCTTCTCCTTACTAATAAGAAAAGAAAAAACATCCAACTATGAGAAACTCTGAAATGATTAAACCGTTTCATCCCCTCTTGGTCTCTCCTTGTAGACTTGTACCAGTCTCGTACGATCGATCATATCATCATCACATAATAATCATCTAACATTCTTGCAATGACTAAACCTTAGCTTAGGTCCCGCCGTACTGTATCGGAAAATATTCTTACCTTACCTTACCTTACCTTACAGTAGTGGAGTGAATATGCCAGGGTCCCGGGAATCAAAGCAAGCCAAGCAAACAAGGTACAAGCGGTAAGGCAGACAGAAGATCTCAATAAATGAATGGATGAATGGTACCGATGGAGAAAAATATTTCAATTCGGTGGAGATTCCGCGGATATAAAGTATAATTCCCGCATTGTTTGGTTTCAATTGAATTGAATTGGAATATAGTAATAATGATAGTATTAAGGAGGGATTGGAGGGAATTCTAGAAGCTAGCGGGGCTACTGTATAGCTATAGGGATGGTTTTGTTTGAGCTGGGTGAGGTATGATAATGTAGATGAGGTGAGAGATAATCTAGGTGAGAGTTTAACTGTCAATTTGTCAATTTGTCATGTCCAAGTAGTGATGCAGTTATCTCTACAAAATGATATTCCCTCATCAATTAGTCTCTAGTCTCAACTGCATAAACAATGAACAAAGCCTCACTCAATCAAACATCTCAAACATCTCACTTCGCTGCTGTATACCGAGTACACGAATCTCCAACCCAACCGAACATCATCACCAAAACCATCCAAATATGTTCGCACGTGTCTCTATTTCCTATTCCCAAAGGGTTTATTCCCAAGGTTGAAGCTTTGATACTAAACTACTTGTATTACGAGATGAAAACTCCTGCAGTTAGCGGAGACAGAGACAGAACCTCACCTCAAGGCTCATGCACTCAAGACAGCTCATCCATGATTTTTTAGATCCTCATTAATCACTAATAGCACACCTGGAGGCTGCATTATTATTATTTTCTATGAAAGTCTTTCCTTTTCCCCACACATTCATTCATTCTTTGACCTCCATCTTCATTTTCCTAAATTATATATCCACATTTACTCACCCAGTCCACTCACAGTCTCACAGTACCAACTATCTACTTACTAGTCGAGTTTATCTAACCAAAAGTAAAAGTTCATATTCATATTCATCGACCCAAGGAAATCCTCTCATGCCACACGTGCGTGCACAGCCAGGCCCTACGTACACCATCATCCCTCTAGTTTGATCAACGAACGTCTAAGCGCAGCACAGCACAACATAACATAAATCCCAAGTCCAATTCCAATTCCAATTCCAATTCCAATTCCAGCGTTAACTAAGTATCCGACTATCCATACCATCTATCCATTTTTGCTGCCAGGAACAGGAACAGGAACAGGAGCAGGAGCAGGAGCTTCAGCTCCAGCTCCCTTCCCCACAACAAGACAAGCTCCTACACTCCCACACTAGCAGAAATAAATGTATTCATTCGAATCTCGCATGGACGTTCTTAATAAATCATCATCTTGAATTAGGCTTCCTTCATGTATGAAATACCCGTAATAGAGTTCATGATCATACGGTTTCATACCCCTTTAGCAAGCAAAAAGCATATTGTAGCTGTGCTGTATTGTAAATCTTCATATAAAAAGATTGAAGTTATGTTTCATTGGGCTATAATATAACATAACATAACATAACATAACCGATCACTCTAGTACTTGTACTTATTATACATACATATACAGTAAAGTAAATCACAGTCATTGAAAACCTACCAATACCAGTACCAATCTACCGGGAATCCCCCCAAAAAATGAACGCAGATAAAAGCCCGAGAGCCTGTGAGCGGGTGGGTTGGTGGGATATATACTATATACTGAGTTATAGAAATTATGAAAATCCTACACAGACAGAATGAATATAAATATTATCTAGCAATACTTGTATAATATAATACATACTACTCGAGTATAGACATTCCATCTCCATCTCCATCTCCATCCCAAAATCCCAATACATATCCATATATCCATATATCCAAAGCCAGCCAACCAACCAACCAACCAACAAGGTGCCAAAAATCCCAGGAAGAAAGGAAAGAACTCTTTGACTCCCGAGGTCTTCTTACGTACCAGTATTTTCGCTGATCTAATATACGAGTACCATTACAGAGTGGAGTGGAGTTGGAACACAACTCTCACAACTTACTCACAAGGTATTTACTACCTAGGTAATACCTAGGTACCTATATGTTTTAAACGCCCATCTCATCATTTTGAATATTGATTTCCACTTACATACCTACCCTACCCTACATACCATACCTACTCTCTTACTTTTGCTTCGCCGCAAAACTAGATACGTACTCATCAAGGTAAGTATATAACATAATCAATCGTTACACAAGACTAGACTTCTAGACTTCTAGATACTGTACTATATTAATGCCGGTATTGAAAAAAAAAATTGAAAAAAGAATGAAAAAAACCGCCGCAGCGTCGTGATCGACGGACGTGAGCTTTATTTCTTTAGTTGGGTTGGTGAGAGGAGGGGTGGGAGCGCGAGGGGTAGGTAGATAGGTAGGTACCTAGGTACCTAGGTACAAATACTCCGGGGGGTTTTTTTTCTTTCCTCGTACTCGGGTTTTTTTTTTTGAGAAAGAGTGAAGGAAGAATTGATGATGATGATGATGATATTGATGATATGATATTGTAATTGAATCAAGGAAATAAATACTCGTAGAAAATTAAAGTAGAGAAAGGAAGAGAAAATAAGAGAAAAGGGTAAATTCACATATATATATATATATCACGCAAGCAAGATTCAAAGGGAGAAGACAAAAAAGTAGTTTTGGAGTCAGGTCCGTCATCTAGTGACAGGACCGAAGAATTCTTTCTTTGATTCTTTTGAGTGACTATGATACTAATAAGGTACTGTAGGTAGGTAGGTAGGTCATTTCGCCTCATTGAGAAGTAATGACAATGACCAGGTCAATCCATTGCATTTATACCACTGTGTGTGGTATATCATCCTATCCTCCCATCCTCCCATCCAATCCAATCCAATCCAAACCATCGCTAACAAGCTTCATCTTGAATGAATGAAGCTCAGAAAAAGAGATGCGAACGATTTGTTGTATCAATTAAGCGAGAACCAAAAAGAGAAAAGGCGCCCCTTCACCATGCAAGTGAATCAATCATTCTTTCCTTTCCCAACAAATGAATAATAAATTGCTCCAACCGCTTTCCTATCCCAGTATCCGATGCTTTGCTCTTCCTGTAATAATCCGATTGATTGATATCTGATTATATCATCCATCCCATGCCTCCCTCACTCCCTAATATGATATGATATGCCCATGTATTAAGAAAAAGAGTTAAGTAGTAACTATAATGACTTTACTCCTCGCTCGCTATTCTGAATGCTCCCGCTGCATGCAAATGTGTAACAAGTGACCCAAGGAAATTTTTGTGAATGCCCAGAATTGATGAGATGAATGGTGTGAATGTATGATGTGATATGATGCAATGCGAATCTGATGCCCGAATGAGATTTAAAGACTTTTTGTACAACCGATTTTGATCGTATATTGTGAGGTAACGCCGACCGACTCCGTGTCAGAATTTTTTGAGAAGAGATATGGGTATTTATTTGTGTCATGATGAGAAACGATGTGTCGTCTGAAATAACGCCGATAAATGCTGAAAGTCGAGAGATGATGATGATGATATTGGTGAAAATGGAATTCGTGGTAGCTAGCTATGTGGTAGGCTCATTAACTGCCGGATTGTCTTCTGGAATTTCGTGATTGATCGAATGAGCTAGCATATGCCCTTAATGCATTCTTGGATTCCGCGGATAATTGTGCGGGCTCGGAGGAGGTAGAACTGGTGCTTTGCATTGAGAAAAGACTGGATTGGGAGCTCGAAGGTGTTAAGGAAGACTTCGCGGCGGGAGACGATCTCGATGGTTGCTGGGAGTATGCGGTGCGAGATGAAGGGGTGGTTCCGTATGGTTGTGCTTGGCTGAAATTGTATGCGGGCTCCATGTAGAAACCTGTGGGCTTGGAAGGCCAGGATGCCCCAAATGAGGATGGTGATGAAGGGAGAGAGTTGTCACTTGAGGAAGCTTTTTCGTACTCTGCGAGACGGCAAGCTTCGGAGCAGTAAACACTCCCATCGGTTTGCCTATCACAGGCAAGGCAGAAATCTGGAGACCATTCCATATCGAAAGACATCTTGTATGCTGTTGTGTTGTGTTGTGTTGTGTTGTGTTGATTGGATTGTAGTGAGGATGTAGAGGATGTAGAGGATGTAGTAGAGGAATTGGGAATGGGTTGATGAGGTTCGAATTAATTGAGGAAAGGAAGATCTCCGAAATTCGAAGGGTGTGAGTCTTCCTTTATGGATCTTTTCGTAGGTAAGGAATAATGCTGTGTTGTCTGATTTTATGTCGTAGACAAAAGCTCGGTCAAGTAAACTATGGTGTGACTCGATGAAAGGCTCCACCCGGTACTAAGTGGATGGAAATCTTGTGCGATGCGATGAAGGCTACTGCCGTAATCTCTTAAGTGGATGAGGTGATTTATGTATAAATAATACTCATACTGCCAGAAAATCCACAACTCAGGTAAACTAGCATATATCACATAGTGATAAACTACAACAGGAATAGCCTAGTTTTTCTTTCTAGTGGCATAAAGTAGTTGATGACTTTGACTTGTTATATGGTATCATTCCTGGTTCACTCAATGGCGATGTTGTTTGGAATCTCTTTAAGTTCTGATATGGGTCAATTGTGAGGGAGGAGGTTGATGGATACACAAGTTTTACAGTAGCGAAGTTGGCCTGTCTGGGTCCTGCAGATAATGCTTATCTACCTAGGTATGTGCAGATGGCTTTTTGTTTTTTTTGTTTTTTTTTACATTTTAGCCACTTCACCTAAAGCGCATATAATAATACAATTTGGAGAAGGGCCAGTGAAATGGTTGTGTAACGTCTGGTTGGTGATGGTACAAACATGGCAAGACTTTTTGGGGGTCTGCGGGATGTTTCAATTTTTCTTTTCTTTCTCTTTTGGTGTGGTGAGTGGTTAATTACCTATTAGCGCATGATTTATCATGCCACTACCACTTTCTAGTTGCCTCCTTTTGGTTAGAGTAGTCTCTAGATATGCACATATGCACTGTAACTATATTAATGCATTGGCTGCCGTAGATAACCTGGCTGAGGATGAACTTTTTATCCTTGGAGATTCAAAAATACACCCAAGGCTTGTAAGAATGACCCTGGCGACTACCTATACGGTTCTGCACTTATGACTGGTGGCAGCCGCATTGAGATTCCCCACCTTCTGAGAAATCTTGGCTTTTATACCATGTTCATGGCTGCTCTTGAAGCGAATTCTTCTAAAATAGTGGGATATGGTTTGAAAAAAGTAGAACTAGGTAAGACGGGATGTTAATACAAGGGCCCAAGTTGTTCTTTTGCCCTAGTGGAGACCGCATTGGTGTGCTTGCAGATTTTGAGGTTTACTCGTAAATTTCGAGCAACCCGTTGACGCTGGGGTGCTAATTAGAATGGGAATAAAAATAGTGCCAGACACAAAGACTTTGACGATAATGTAAAAGGAGGGTTTATGAAATGTTATCATGATAGGGGATAATTTAGAAATATGAATACCAAAAATCGTCATTTCTACTAATTTTACAGAACCCAAAGATACCTAAACCAAGTCTAGCTCTCTATTTCTCCCCAAATTGAACAGATACAGACAGGGCTTTTAGTTTATTTGTCAGATCTCAATCAGCAAGCCAAGGACGGGCGACCCTTGGGAAATGGTGAAGATAGGGAAGAGATCAATGATCCAAGACAGGATCGTGAAGGGAAATTATTCATCGCTAACTTCGCGCCAAAGAATTTGATCCAGGAGAGGGAATAACTAGTGATTCTTGAAGCAATAGTTCAAAGTAAGCCGAAGACCTAAGAGCCAAGACCTCGCAAAAATCAGCGAGAAGAAATTGGTAGATACAATGAAATAAAAACGTCATGTTCAATCACCTGAGCTGGACGACGAGCAATCATAATGCCGAAGCTAGTTTCAGGTGTAGACTGGCCGTGGCCGCCCGCTTCAAGCTCTGTTAGAGATGGATCAAAAAAATAAAATATGATATGTATCGAAAAATATGACGATGACAACTTCGGTTAATGAAGGAGTCACGAATGAATGGTCTCATCTATCCTATACCAAATTGTCACAGCTGTACTCAAGTAGTTAATGATTTATTCATCAAGATCAAGCTATGCATGCAATGCTTACCGAACCTAAAATCCTATTAGATTGTCTTTTCGCAGCATCAATAATAATATTTTGTCTTGCCTAAATGATTCGTTGATGGTTATTGTTATAAAGTGATATGCAATATATTCTCCTTTTGGTTGCATCTGCAGCGATGAGCACCTTGATATCGATCAATTGACCCATGGATTTTCCCCTCATTTCACAAAATATTTAGATTGGGAATTTGGGACCGCGAAGAACAATAATCTCGAGTATCCTATCCCTAAACTATTGACTTCCCGTTCGGCACCACCCGTCTCCTATAATCGACCGTATCTCCAAGAAACCCACCAGAAGCAAGATCGGCAGCATCTCTATCACCACATTCGGTCACAGTATGATAATATGAACCACGTTACACTACGTAGTAAGCTTGGTCGGTAGGCACTAAGATCTCTTCAAAAGGCTCTTTTTCATCAACTCCTATCGAATGTCTCAAACATCTCATATACATATACAGTCAGTCAAATGTGAGCATGAATATCGGGTTAATGGCCGTTGCCGTTGCCGTCGCTATCAACAACGGCAAGCCGGATGGATGGCTATGGCGTTACGGAAATCAGTCCATGCGACAAAGCTTCAAACACTACCGCGAGACTGCGACATGAGCCATCACGAATTAGCCCTACGTCACAGGACTTTCGTTGCTCCCAAGATATCCAGTCCAAGACTTCCAAGGAGTCATAGCCTCGTGGGCCAAGATCTAAGGTCTAATTTACTTGACCATGTTAGTACGAAATTCTCCACAGTGAGGAGTCATTAGGCATGAAACGTGCTCCAAGGATAGGTTTATTATAGAGTATGAGCGCTTTTCAGAATGAGTTATTATTATTGTACTCACGTCAATGTCCTCAAGCGCCCAGCAAGTATGAGTTTCCAGCTAGAAGCGTCTTGAGACGAGGCTATATGTACGATACTGTTATCTCATTGATTCAAGTTAATTAAATGGCTTGAAATCGAATGATACCTCAATCTTTGAGGCTAATTGATATCACCTTATTCAAAAAGTTTGAAAAATATAATTATATACTTGTATTCCAATATCTCAGCCAAAGCGGCGTCATTGATAGCTCCCCACTCTACTATAGAAAGCAAGCATTGTTCACCATCTGACCCTGAATAAAAATAGTTTATTCTCAGTAGTGTCGACTGCGGGAATCACGAAAACGGAGAAATATTGCGGAGATTGACCCAATTACACTTCTCCTAACCGTGGTTCAATCATTTGATATCTGGATCTCGTCAAATCCAATCAATTTTCCTTTATCTCTAGAATTGGAACCACGAAAGCATGAAAGCAGCACGAAACTCTCACAAGCTTGATGAAGACCGACCCGAGGAATTGAGATGGGTGATGGTGGCTGCTTGCTACGCCTCTGCACCTCTGCACCCCTGCGCCCCTGCATTGCAACATCGTTGGGTCATGCCGCTGATGCTTTCACGACAGTAAACTGTGGGGTTGTGGTCGTACACGGTTTGTACCCGTCATGTACTCAATATCATCAAATCATGTTATCAACCTCATGCCACTATGAAGTGGTACATGCTTCGGAGTACAGCGACGACTAATTTGATGGCATGCACTTTCTAACTGCAGTCTTACATAGGCAAACTGGCCAACATGACAATGTTCTGCTATGTAATTACGCCATCTTGAGGTGAAGTACTGCAGCTTTGGTACTTCCAGCCTTCAGGAGACTACAGACTACAGACCCATGGCAATACCTTAACCTTTATGTTCGCGATGCAAAGCAATCTATCGCCCATAACCCAGCCGTCTCTTAAGGTTATCTCCTTTTAACCAGCATTGCTACTACATTAATCTTTTCGGCCCAGTCTCATGAGGCAGAATTTTGTATCCAGGAGCAACTTTGATATTCATCTACGATAGCCAATCTTTTCTCCGACAATCTATTTGAAGCGAATATAAATGGCGTTGCAAGATCTCGAATTAAACAAAAGGAGTCGAATGCTAGCTGGTGATCATACTAAGGGCTTCCTGAGGGAAGTGGGGGTTCACAAGACAATATCTAGTCCTAACCGATAAACTTCTTTACGGGCTCCATCGGACGGCATTGAGAAGCTTCGGAATTCTTATGATAGAAAGGTCTCAGCCCTAGTCGGTCGTACCGATGCCGTCTTTTACCAAGGAACTGACTTTCAGCTCGTATCACCGTTGTCACGAGGATTTACGTACTGTAGACGACTCGGCTGAAATTCAATATAGATCACTTCATCAATCACGATTCCTTGGAATAGCACGAGTGTCAGCATAAGCACAACATAAATTTGCCAAAATGATGCTATCATAACTTTTTCGAATATGTCCATTACCCGCAGATAAATCCTCGAACTCTTATCTTTCTCTCGTTGCAGCGATTGCACATCCCACAAGATCCTGTGCAATAGTTTAGTTATCCGTCCCTTTATTCCCAGAACAGGGGGCGGACTTGAAAGGAACTATTATACGAACCAACCCTATTTGGTGCACTATCGTCAACCCTTTAGAACTATTTCGCTTTTGAATATTCGCGGTTAATGCGCCGTGCTTACAAAATCTGCAATCATTCTTCTCCTACCCTCACAACCTCCTGAAAGTTCCATACCTACGATTTCCTGTACCAGATTAGTTCTTCTTGATCAATTGAGGTGGTTTCAGAAATGTACATCATCACTTGAACACAAAAACCACAAGATCAAATATCGCATGATTGGATCTATGAGCACATGGTTCGTTGCAATGCCTCAACTCCACTTCCTAACGGTGGCATCTCGCTCAACTAATTCGGTCCTGGGATTCCTTCATGTCGTTCGATTCGTACTAGTCTGAACGGTTTTGGACATCAATAGGAGTTGCCCTTCCAAATCCGTATCTACAACCAACAGACCGTTCGTCCA